TGATAAAGAATATTATAAAGATATCCTTTACTTAGAACCTACTCCAGTAGATAATAAACCTTGTCTCATACACACAGCTTTCTCCTCAGGATTCGGTATTTAGAATTTAGAGAAAGCAAAACCAGCTGATTATACCAATTTATATATATATATATATATACAGTTTATATCCAACTACCAGAGATACAACGATATAGTTATACCAGCTGATTATACCAATATATATATATTATATTAAAAACGTATACCTAAAACACCCCCTGGCCTCCCCTGAGTGGCAACAAAAAATTTCAGCCCAATCGGTCCAGCCGTTTGGCCGGCTATACGCAACATATATACGAATGTCTTGTTTTATTAAATAGATATACAGTTTGTATCTAACTGCTATAGATTATAGTAGAACAATATAATTATACCAGGTGATTATACCTATATATATATATCTATATATAAATGTGTAATCTCTGTTTGGCTGTCTGTCTGTTTGCCCGATCATAACTCAGGAACCCCTGGACTGATTTGCCTCGAATTTTGATTGTGGAATTAGGGAGACCCACGGGAATGTTCTTAGGATGGTTTTGAGAATCTAAGTTGAGTTGGTCGACATTACTCGCGAAATTTTAGTTTCCCGGTAAAATCGTGCGGGTAAACGGCCGGAGTAACTTTAAGCAATCTTGCAGGCAGCGCTGGGTTCCAAAGCTAGTATATATATACTAGGCGTTTAGGGCGCTTCCCGACCATTCTCTATTTCAAATATTAATTGTGCAGTGGCTTTATCTCTGAACATCTTCTTTTTGTACAGTATAAAACAAAAACAAAAAATGTTTGCGGATTTCATAATATTTTTTTGTGCATTTTCAAAATTTTTCAAAAATAAAAAAACTTTTTAACACAAATCTTTAAAATTTTGATCATTCATAAACCTTCCCTGGGGTCACGTGAGGTCCCACAAAACATTTTGGACCCGATCGGTTCAGCCGTTTTGACGTTTATTGGATACAAACAAACAGACAAACAGACAAACATACAAACACCCAGAGAAGCCAAATTTATATATAGATATGTATAGTTTATATCCAACTACCAGAGATACAACAATATAAATATACCAGATATCGTTAATAATAGTTTTTGTAGGTGTGCCACTCGTTGGTACTCAATACTGTGCTAGAAATCTTTAAATTAGATCATATTTAACTGTAAGAAAATATTTTATAAATCAGTTCGTATATTACTATTTATAGGACCATAATTACAAGTATATTATTGTACAAATTTACCAAATACTTGTATTTAGAATAGTTAACTTTATTTCATTGATAGCTATGAGTTGAACTTTAAGGTAATAATCGGTATATCTGGTTTATCTATCTATAAATTTAGCCTGTCTGTTTTGGTGTTTGTATCCAATAAACTTCAAAACGGCTGAACCGACCAGGCCCAAATTTTATGTGGGACCTCACTTGGCCCCAGGGAATTTTTATGAATTATCAAAATTTCAAATATTTGTTTACATCAAAATTTTCATTAAATTTTAAAATTTTTTGAAAATCCACGAAATTTTTTGTTAAAATCAGCGAATTTTTTGTTTGTTTTGTTTTACGATGTACACAAAGAGAACATGTTCACAATTAAAATAGAAGATGGGCGCGGAGCGCCCTTTAAATACTAGTATATATATATTATATCATGTATACATTACACACACGTGTAGAGTAGAAGGGTTGATACCTGATTTCCCTTTAATATCCACCCTTGAGCGTTTAACCCTCAATTTAAACCTAAAACCCTTGATAGCAATTTTATCTGTAAAACTGAATATGTAGATAGATAAAATTCAATGAGAGTACAACTAAGGTGTATGGGGGGTTAGGTTTTGTTTACATATTTTACTGTAATGTATTAGAACTGTTCTATAGAAACTAGTTTTAACAACAGCAAAAATGTAAAATTCGTTGAAAAGTTGTTAAGTGAAGATTGTTCAGTGAAATCAACATTTTGTATTTACAACATAATGAATTTGAGAGAGGTTACTGAACTACCGATCGCTGAATAATCAATTCAAAGTTGATGATTCATGAGGATTTGATTGGCTCTCGATAATTTAGAGACCTCTGCAATTAATTAAATTCGGTCCTTGGACTGTCCAATAACGTTGCAATTAGATATGAACAAACCCTATCCTCTCACCTTAGTTCTATACATATTAAATATATACTTGTAGTCTTGTGGATAGAAGTTTTATAGGTTAGTAGAGATGGGAGGTAGAAGGAGAACACATATATACATTATACAAACCATATAATATTCTTCAACATTCTTTATAGAAACCTCATTAATATAATTATACTGTTACATTCTGTTCCATTTCTAGATAAAAAAGTTAAAACTTTCACCCATAAAAAAATTTGACCATAGCTATGGAATTAAGATTTTTTACTCCTAAATAGCTGACATGAAAAGTTTTTTAAACCAGCGAATATTATTCTTTTTTATCATTATTTTTAATTTGATATCACTAGTTTATAAACCAAAACTTAAATAATTTTAATAAAAGTTGTTTAATTGACTTAAAAGAAATTGCAGTCAATAAAAATGAATGATGATGAGTATAATAGTGCAGGTCCTGATTCTATAGGTAAATAGTAAACTGTCAACAATATTTAGAACTAATCTATATTTATATATTTGATGAATATTTAAACAGGGGTGCATTTTTTAAGCAATTATTAAGGAAATGATTTTTGAACTAATTTATGTTTCCCAACTAATTGACACTTAATTTTTTTGCAGACATATTTTATGGAAGGAAAAAATTATTTTCAAAGATGGGGGGGAATCGATTTTTCAAGAAAGTATACACCCCTGTATTTAAACAAAAGCACACCTCAAACCTCAAATTTCACCATTTAAACAAGAGTGTTGAATTAGCTTAAAATAGATATTTTAGCACAGAAAGCATTGTTCATTCTATACTAAAACATTATTTTCGACGTATGACTGAAATGCGTATAACTGTGTAATTTTACTTTAAATCTCTGTGATTAAAGCTTTGAATACTTGAACTAGGCCTATTTTTTGCGTTGAAGTGAACAATTGATTTTATTTTGAATATTAAAAAATTATTTTTTAACTAGATAAATATTTTAGGAACTGAGTCTCCGCCCAATGAGAGATCTAGAAAACCTGAAGGAGAACTATACAGGTACTATCATTAATACAGTTGTAACCAGTGTAAAGCGTTAGTAATGGCGTCTTTAGCTAAAATTAGCAGGGCCGTTTTAAGGGGGGGGGGGCAACAGGAAACATTGCGCACATCACGCTCTGTAAGATCATATTTAAGGTGAAATCAGTTTTTTCCCCACCCCCTTTTTACTCTACCCCTTTCATAAACGTTCAAGCTCTAAATTAGAAAATTCGCTAAAAGATTTTAGAAATATGTAACTATTTAATGCTAATTGTTAAAAATGTGAACTGAACATTTTCAGAGGTAAATAAGTTACAAAATCTCGAGCTACATTTATAGTTTAAAGTTCTAATGGAAATAATGTTGAGACTGCAAATTATGTAAATATTATTGTACCTACTAGAAAACTGTTCTAGCTGAGTTTGCTTTTCTAAATTCAAATATTATTTCAACAGTTTAACTTTCTCCACATTTAACTTTTAACAATCTGTCAAACTTGTCAAAACTTGTTAATTTCCCTTTCATCTACAGTTAGTACAGGTTATCCCACGATTACACAGTAGCAAGATGACTTGAAAATCGTTCTTTAAAAAAAATTACGGCATTTATTTGTAAACCAAATTTTAGAATTAAAATGCTAGAGTTAATAGTCTCTTCAGTTCAATATTACCGGAGATGTGAAGAATTTTGGTTTCATTTAAAAATTTAAATCTTGAAATTCTCAATATCTCCGGCATTATCAGCAGCACAAAAAAGGCAAACTACTTGTTGGAAATCCCAGTGCAGGACTAGGATAATTTTGTGATTATTTTTTCAAGAATCAAACATGTATCAATAACTAGAAGATAACTAGAAGAATAAATAAACATAAAGCTAAAAAGCAGTTAAAAGACACAGACTAATATTTTCGCTTCGCGTATTCCTGGGTTTATTTTTTAATGAAAATATCGGAGCATTTTTCATCGAGACCTGACCGTTTTTTACTTAGTAAGTGAAGAATTACATAAGAAATATTTTTTATAATTAATATTTAACTAGCTAACTAGCTAACTAAAATTTTTTTTTGTGAAAAAAAAAGAATTTCTATTACTTAGCCTATAACACCCCCAGGCTACCCATGAGTGTACACAAAAAAATGTCAGCCCAATCGGTAAAGCCGTTTGGCCGGCTTTTTGCAACATATGCATGTCTTGTTTTATCTATATTACATATATTCAGGCAAATGTCTAAGTCTCTGGTTGGTGTGGATGGACAGCAGTTGAGTAATGAACTATCTGCTCCCTATGAGGTTCCACAGTTTCCTATTGAACAAATAGAATCAAAACTACTTAGGTTAGTAGGGACCACTAAACACATGGAGCAAAGAATTTCAATACTTTAAAAGATACAGTGGAGACCGATAATACTTTGGAAAATGGAGACAATATTTCAGTAATTTTGTTTATATTCGATGATGTTAAAAAGCAATTAGCAAAATCAACTTATTAAATGATAGCTGAGTAGTGTATACTGTACATGTTAATTGTACTATTTAAAATCATCTATCTACCATTCATATTCCTATCCCACAGTTTAACGGGTCAGTCTCACTGTACAACTTCCTTGCTACATGTTTGGTAAGATTGGGATAGTACCCTTGTTTTNATGGAGGGGGATTAGACTTTGGTTTGATTTGGTGCTTTTTCGATTTTAAAATTGTTATGGATTAATGTACAATCTAGATTGTGCAGGTGTGATCCTTTGTGCTGAATATTACTAGAGTTTTACACTTATTTTTATCTAGTTTTGTCTCTCATAATGTGTCTAATTTGTATCTAATCTTGTTCCCCACTATAATGTGTCTAATTTGTATCTAATCTTGTCCCACTATAACGAGTCTAATTTTTATTTAGTTTTATCTCACTATAACGAGTCCAATTTATATCTAGTTTTATCTCATTATAACGTGTCTGACTTTTATTTAGTTTTATCTCACTATAACGAGTCTAATTTTTATCTAGTTTTATCTCACTATAACGTGTCTAATTTTTATCTAGTTTTATCTTACTATAACGTGTCTAATTTTTATCTAATCTTGTCTCACTCAAGTGTCTTTTTTTTTAATATTTGCTCATGATATGCCATTTTTTTCTAATATTGTCTCTGTATTTTTAATCTTTTTATACCGTATGGTGTTTGATGTGTCTAGAGATAGGACTATAAAACAATACATATATTTAGTCTATTTCCCTTTGATCTATTTGCTTTTCAATTATTATCTTTTACGATGAAATTTCTTATCTTGAAGAATTAGGAGTAAATCTTGCTAGTTGGTTTTAAACACACTGAGGACTGAAACCTTCAATATTTATTAAATTATGGTTCTAAAATCATGGTTAGTTAAATTAATTTTCGGGATGAAACTTCCATATTAAAATGACAAGAAGTTATAAAGCAGGCTTTATTATCAGAACTTGACTACAAAATATCAATATCTTTAAAAACAGAACACACATCTTTACTATTTATAAGTACTTGGTTTCTGTTTTAAAATCTTCTGTGGTTTTGTTGACAGCAGAAGTGATCTCAGAACTTTTGTTAATCTTGTGATCAGGCATTGATCTCCATCTTATACAGATATACGAGTTATTCTTATTCCTCTTCGATATACCGTGCTGTTTATACCTTGCTGGAATAACTTTACTGTATGGATGAAGCCTTTATACTAAAATTAAAAAGTGTCCAAATTGGATATCAAGCTTTCAAAAATAACAAAATTCACACACAATTCAACCACAAATGATTGAACTGTTTATATTCACTGCACTAGCAATACAATATTTTATATTAGTATTCACTATACTTTGAACTTTATCACATCAGCTAAGATCACATTCACGAAGATCGAAATGAAACCTTCTCCACAAATATTCCCTCCAAGTGTCCTGCAGAAATATATTTTTTAAAATAAAGTTTAACGTACTTAATCACTAAGGTAATCGTATTTTGATAAAATTGATTTTTAAGTTTATTGCATGGGCTTATATCTGTTTTTAGAAGCTTAGAAGAGTTTAGCTCGTAGAGATTAATTCTCTTCAGTATCATGAAATATTCTACTTCAGTCTTCCATCTATACCCCGGATACATTCATCACTGGATATATCCTGGATACATTCATCTCAGGATATATCCTGGATACATTCATCTCAGGATATATCCTGGATTCATTCATTTCAGTATATATCCTGGATACATTCACCTCAGGATATATCCAGGATACACTCATCTCTGTATATATCCTGGATACATTCATCTCAGTATATATCCTGGATACATTCACCTCAGGATATATCCTGGATACATTCATCTCAGGATATATCCTGGATACATTCATCTTAGGATATATCCTGGATACATTCATCTCAGGATATATCTTGGATACATTCACCTCAGGATATATCCTGGATACACATCTCAGTATATATCCTGGATACATTGACCTCAGGATATATCCTGGATACATTCATCTCAGGATATATCCTGGATACATTCATCTCAGGATATATTCTGGATACATTCATCTCAGGATATATCTTGGATACATTCACCTCAGGATATATCCTGGATACATTCATCTCAGTATATATCCTGGATACATTCATCTCAGGATATATCCTGGATACATTCATCTTAGGATATATCCTGGATACACTCATCTCAGTAAATATCCTGGATACATTTATCTCCGTATATACCCTGTATACATTCATCTCAGTATATATCCAGGATACATTCATCTCAGGATATATCTTGGATACATTTATCTCAGTATATATCCAGGATACATTCATCTCAGGATATATCTTGGATACACTCATGTCAGTATATACCCTGGATACATTCATCCCAGTATATATCCTAGATACACTCATCTCAGGACATATCTTGGATACATTCATCTCAGTATATACTCTGGATACATTCATCTCAGTATATATCCTAGATACACTCATTTCGGGACATATCTTGGATACATCCATCTCAGTATATACTCTGGATACATTCATCTCAGTATATATCCTGAGCTGAAAACTTTAGAATGGAATATCCTTAATCCCGATCGGTTAATTAATCTGGAGATTAATAACAAGAGAAGAACAAGCATTATTTAATCTCGAGATTAAGAAAAAGAGTGAATCAAGCCTTAATCCCGATATCCACTATTCAAAAGTTCCCAGCTCTAGATACACTCATCTCAGGACATATCTTGGATACATTCATCTCAGGATATATCGTGGATACATTTGTTTAAATTATTAAAAAATAAATCAACATCTCTTTAAAAGATTTGATAACTGAAAAATCAGCCACTGCTACATTTTTGTGCGAAAGTACTGATAGCACAATGCAAAGCTGATAACAAACAAATGCATAAAATGTATACATGTTATTTACTATCTGTAGGGGTTTTGAGGATTGTTTAAGAAGTCTAGTTTTCAGATATAGCCGAGTGTTGTTGATGGGTTCGAAGGATATAGCTCCGGGTGGGTGGATGAGACAGGGTAGATCATATTCATCTCATTGTCCTGATTGTCCGACTAATATACAGTTCCAGGCAAGGGATCCGTGGAGTATAGAAATCCTATTCTAGGGCTGGGCCTCGAGCCTTGGAAACGATAGTTCTTTCATGGTAACAAACGGTTCGGAAAAAAAAACTATTTCAAAGTAGTAGGAACGCACTGGGCGTTGTTCCTTTCACGTTATTTCACGGGAACAAACGGAACGGTTCTAAACGGTACGGAACAAATAATTTAATGAACACGCCCAGCCCTAGTCCCTGCAGTTCTAGAAATACATGCAGTTGTGGTATTCAAGTTTTTACATTCAACTTAATTGACAAGGTTTAATAAAAATTAAATGTCTGGTATAGAGGCCATGTGTAGTGTTTACTAGGGTTTATTGTCGTTATTTGAGTTTATCCTTGAATAATGAATTACATCATTATATGCCCGATTAACAACGCTGCACTTCAAATCTCGGTGAACAAATGATGGATTTATACTGTTTTATCTGAAAATTTATCATTGCGGTACATTTATGTAAAACAGTTAAATGCGTATTTCTGCAGCAGAGCAAAGGAAAGAAAGTATATAATCTTACTTCTTTCTGTTGTGTCTATAAGGAGAAAATTGTTAAAAACGACTCATACCATTCCTTATTGTTACTCAAATATTGGTTTTGCAGAGTGCTCTTGAGAATCGGACATTTAGCTTAGCTGCAGTAGAAGTAGATTATGTTATCTCCAGTAGTTGTGTTATCTCCAGTAGTTGTGTTATTTTAACAAATTCTAGAATTCTAAATTTAAACCCACAGAGCCACAATTCTGTATAACTATTTAATAACATGAAGATCTAGATTCTTCTCTAAAGAATTAATTACCTAGGGATTACAGTTCTATTCCCTACCTAACAGAAGACAAAAGAAAGATGTTTGCAATGGTTTAACATGGTAAATACTGTAAACAGTCTTTTACACCATTTTCAGGATAGATAGACTCACCACTATACTTAATATATTCACTATTCACATATAGGTATATACGCTCTTAAAGGGAATACGTCCACGTGACTTAAAGTAACCCTAATGTTATATATTAAAATATAAATTCTTTTCTTAAATTGTCTTGTATAACCATCAAACTCAATGCAATTTTTAATTAATACGTGTTTTTAAACAATTTTATAGGAGGAATTTGAAAAGAAATTTAAGATATGATTGAGTAAAACTCGGGCATTTTCTATGTCAAGTGTAGTTTTAGTTCTTAACTGTGACCACATTAGAGTTCAGAATGAATGAAAAGTGAGAAGTAGTTAAACTAAGTACAACTAGTTGAACTACTTCTCAAGTTTAGCCGAATGTACACTAGAGAAGTAGTTAAACTAAGTACAACTAGTTGAACTACTTCTCAAGTTTAGCCGAACGTACTCTAGAAAAGTAGTTAAACTAAGTACAACTAGTTGAACTATTTCTCAAGTTTAGCCGAATGAACTCTAGAAAAGTAGTTAACCTAAGTACAACTAATTGAACTATTTCTCAAGTTTAGCCGAATGTACACAGAAGTATTTTTTCTTGAAAATAAAAAAAACTAAATTTAAATTCGAATAAATCAATATTTCTTAAAAATATATATTTAATTAATTGGTTTAGGGTTTGCATCCAGGAGGAGGCAGGTAACATGAGGTATACAAAATACAGTGGTATGCCATACAATAAAGACGATTTTAGATTTCTACTTTGATTGATATCAAGCTTTCAAACAGCATGAATACACATAAACATGTACACAAAAAGAAGCTGTCAATTAAAAAAGCTTCTTTTTTGTTACTTGTAAACTTATAATTCGAAAAAAATCAAATTTTAATTTAAACAATCGTCCATATTGTATTGATATAATCGCTTACCATTGTACAATATACATGTTAATTATCTCTCTCTTACCTCTCTTGATATTAATCTTATTTAAGACAAATAAATGTTCAATGCATGAATAAAAGGTATTTAAAAATCAAGATCCTAACATAGATCTTTACCTAATACTACATAGCATGTAGTGTACTATAATAGTGTTAAGTCGCTGTACTTTTACAGCAAACATATTGTTTCATGTCTTCCTTTTTACTGTTAAATAACCTGACTTTTCGTTTAGTGTTAGAAGAATATTTTAATAAAAATGTAAATTTTTTATAACCATCTTCCTAATATTTCCGCATAAGGACTTCGGTAGATTATTTTCGGATTTGGATAATACTTAAAGCGACAATGGACGCATTTCAAATTCCTTAAAGGAAGTGTTCGCGAAAAATGAAAATGCGATAAAAAAGCGCTTTTGATCGCTACTAATCTTACTTCTTTCTGTTGCGTCTATAAAGAGAAAATTGTTAAAAACGACTCATACCGAAGTACGTAGTGTCCATACAAATTTAGAAAGATGCAACATTCAACTCGGGTCGTAAACAAATCAATTTAATTCCAAACAAATCATTCAGATATTACAAACAATATAGTCATCAATTATTTTTCGACGCATTCGTAACTAGTTAATATTTCATAATATTTTGTATTTTTCATGATCTGAGAGTTAGCACATGATTACTATATACCAAACATTAGTTTTCTACGTCCTGTATCCTATACATAATAAATCTTGGATATTTTATTCAAGTTTGAATTATCTAAGTTACTTTACATTGATATACATATATGTGTATTTCCAAAAATCAGTGAACTAACCTTGAAGCCATAAATTTAAAACTAAAAGGATACAGGTGTCTCCAAAAATCAAGAGTAACAATTTTAAAAGAGAAAAATATAGAAAATTAGGAAAAAAACTTTCTGATTAAACAATTAAACTTATTAGTATAAACAATGATACTGCATGAGGCCGTGTACTTATTGATTAATATTATCCATATCTTCTAGTTGTAACCCAGTAGGATATAATATATACATTAACCTCTATACTCTCTAGTTTTAGCTTATTATTTATTTATTGCGCAGGAATATTATTGATTATTATCATCTAATTCCGCAGTCTATAATCCGTTTAGTCCTATAGTTGCAGTGTAAATAGATTTACCTATTTTTTATATTCTGTTAATTATATTATATTATTATCAAAATTAGCCTGCAGATTATAGTGCAGATTATACTTCTCTAAAATCGAATAATTTTGATAATTATTTTTTTCAACTGAATAGATTTCCTTGGATCAGCAAACTGACTAAATCAGTTTTTAGGTTACGTAAAGGTTGCCGCGCAGCCGCAGATCAAATTTATTTTATGTTGCTTGCTCCCATTGTTACTATGCTTGCTTACCCTATGTGAGATTTCTATTTATACCAGGTGTTCAGGTTTTTGAAATAATTTATCTCGATAATTAATAATAATATATGTTTAGGGTTCAACAGGAACAACAGGGTGCATCAAACCTTGGAGCCAGGTAGTGTACTCTGTACTATGTACTCTGTACTCTGTACTCTGTACTCTGTGCTCTGTACTCTATACTCTTGTACTCTTGTACTCTCTATTCTATACTTTAATACGATATGCAGTACGCTCTCGGTATAGTTCACGCCCTATACAATTAGTAAAGGATTAGCGTACATCATTACTCTATACACTATAACCTCGTTGGTTACACTACAATACGAGTTATAGAGACATTTCATTAAAAATAAAATACAAATTCTTTACTATAAATAACCTTGTTCTTGAGCTTATCGAATATATAGATGATATCCATGTTAAGTATTGATATCCATGTTTACTATTGATATCCATGTTTAGTATTGCCATCCATGTTTAGTATTGATATCCATGTTTAGTGTTGATATCCATGTTTAGTATTGATATCCATGTTTAGTATTGATATCCCTGTTTAATATTAATATCCATGTTTCGTATTGATATCCATGTTCAGTGTTGATATCCATGTTTAGTATTGATATCCATGTTTAGTATTGATATCCATGTTTAGTATTGATATCCATGTTTCGTATTGATATTCATGTTTCGTATTGATATCCATGTTTAGTGTTGATATCCATGTTTAGTATTGATATCCATGTTTAGTATTGATATTGATGATGATCTTGAACTCCAGGATTTGGTTCCACACTTCCAACGTGTTGATATCTCAGGAGATGATAATACAGGGGTTAGTATCCTAGTATTCATATTTCTTTGCACTTAAAGGAATTGAGTCTTGGCCTTGAACTCAAATTTTCGAAACCAAATAGTTGATATTTCAAACTTAAATTATTTAATTTATTAGAAATCATACAGCTAGCTTATCCCAAAACTTCGTAGACATCGAAAGAATTTATAAAATGACATCATGACAATTTTCAAAGTGAGAAATATCTAAGGTCTAAGACATTGGGTTGCAAAGATATAGAGATCAAAGGCTCAATTCCCTACACAACAACATTACTTTACACTACTAAAATTTAATGCATTCATCTTTTTATAAAATAAAAAAAACATGATTGGTAACGTACATAGAATTAATGGTTTATCTCACAGATACACACAGCAGTCAGTTTTTGACAATTACTGGACGCGTTTGAAAATATTACAGACAATTCAGTCACAAATAAATCTCTACCAACGTATATTTTAAAAATCAAAGTCTTAAGAAATGTTTTTCTTATTTAGGTTCCAGTAGAGGATCTTCATTCAGCATCAAAACTTCTTATTCAAGTAAAATTATGTTTGAATGTTCTTAAACTTTATTTATAATATTTATGCTATTTATTATCAAAGGATTGATAATATTTGAAACTGCGGCTTAAGAAAGTATGATAATAAAACAAACTCAACATTTGTTGGTCTTCCTGGGACCCAATTTAATGAATTTAAACTTTAAATGTTTAGATGGATGTATATATATTTAGGCTTTAAACATCATGGATGTATAAATATTTGATCATTAAACATCATGGATATATATATTTAGGCTTTAAACATCAGGATATATATATATTTAGGATTTAAATAACAGGGCTAAATATATTTAGGCTTTTAACATCATGAATATATATATTTAGGCTTTAAACATCAGGGATAAGTATATGAGAGTTTCAAGGCAAGGATTTCCTTCCTCTGTTGACAGGTGCAGTTTTAACATTTAGAAAAATTTAACATTTTTTTGTCAAAATATTTAGTTTTAAACTTTTTAATGCAAGTTATTTTAAGCCATTTCTTATGTGTAAACTTTTAAATTTCGTTTTTTACGCTCAATATTTTTAAATTGTTCACATCCTTGATACTTTTCCAAATTTACAAAGTTTGATTAAAAGTAAGTTAACTTAAAATAATTATGTTTGCTAAATAGGTTTCTGTCAACCCTGAGTGGAAATCCTAAACCAGAAATTCATCTCATGGACAGAGCAACTATTGAAGGTAAATATAAGTTATACCTCTTGACAAATAAATATCTATACGTTTATTATGCACAGCTGTCGGTCAAATAGGGATTGTAAGTGTAATTTAATGTGGTCCTCCATAAAACAGTACCATTGAAACCTTGATCTCAACATCTTGACGTCGTTTTAATGACTCCAACATGAAAAGAAACAAATACAAGTATACTCAGGTATAGGTAATTCTTGCTTGATTAGACAAATCTTCCAAGGGTATTGTCGTGAATCGGGCATTACCATCTGTTCATGGAAAGTCAATTACGCTTACAGTCCCTTTAATAGTAGATTACTCCCTACCCCATTAACTTTAACAATTTAGATTTTAGAGAATTGTTCTTATAAGTATGTAGACATAGACATATTGAGTTAGGGGTTCAGAAAATATTTTATATTCCAGGGGGGGAAGGGGACTTTAAATTATTTTCTAAGGTCTGGGACATCACACCGAAATATATCACAAACATTAAAGAAAATATAAGAACATACTTTCTGGACATCCTATAATACAATTTTATTCATAATTTTCTTTCATATCTACTAGTTAAGCCATATAGAACCGGAGCTTTTGCCCCTATTTCTAATCCCTATATTTTTGCAACACCGTGTCCTTTGAAATTTGTAATTAGGAATTCTGCTAGATCAAAAAATATAAGTTTAAAATATAAAAGGTTGACAGCATCAGATTGCAAAGATATATGGATTTGAACATTTGAATTTGTGGCAAAACTCAGTTCCTTTGTTACTAACCTAATACTATGCAATATTATTTAAAATATTCTTTTCTAAAAGCCCTAAAAGTCATCTTTATACGTGTTGATATTAGATTGCATGGAAGTACAGACTTCTAACAGATAACAGATTACGATAAAACATAACAATTACTAATTAATTATTAGGTTTCTTTCATTTATGAATTTAACTCTACTTCTTAGTTATGTTCATCTTAAATAATTATTTTACAATGTCTGCATCCACGTTTATTGAAGTTTAACTGTCAATTATTCTTATCTTTATCATACTCTGCCCTGTTTTTCTTTGGAAACGTAATATTGGAATATTTGCATTTCACATTTTTCATCTCATTACTTACAACCTTAAAACTTCTCATTAAGGAAATAGAAAACTATATTAGTATTACAATAAAAATTATGTAAAAGAAGATTTTTCAAAATTTTCAGTTTTTGATTTGTAAAAAAAAAGGATTGATTAGGAATACAAAGTGTACTAGCCGAACCATTACTTCCTCTTGCAACAAACACCCCTTAAAAATATTGATAAGAAAGCAGAAAGAACATTTTTATTAACTTTTTAGGGGACTGTTAATTTTCTTCTATTTAAAGGTTTTGGCACAGAATGAAAAGTTATCTTTTAGAATTTAAAAATAAGTTGAACTTTAAAAACGGAAAGATAAAACTTAAAGGACTTGAGACTGGACATAGGTTTCTAGGTTAATAGGGTTTATCTGTTGCATATTTAAAGGTAATCCCGCCCTGTTGAAACGACTCCTAGAGGAGAGACGAGAATCTCTAAGTATTATTCAGAGTGATTTTATATAATTATGTTTGCATAAACATTTATATATTTTTACTAGACCAATATATATAATATATATAATATATATTCACGCTAAACTAAACTATATACACACTCATTAATATTTACTTCTCACGCTTGTAATGGATGTAAACTGCAACCTGTATTAACCCATAAGCAACTTACTATTTGGAAAATATATAAAATACAATAAAGTCTTTTTTGTATTTGCAAAATTCTTAATTTTGTTTATTTGAATTTGGTTAGCACATATATTACATAATACACTTCTAATTGCATTCGTTGCTGCATCTTGTTCCAATATTGAAGAGTTTATATCTATTTTCTAAATAAAATAAGACAAGTTGGAAATACGTTGTCATCAATCAAGGAAACCAGTGCACACAAGCCTTTTCTTTTTGATCTAAATATATTTCCGATTAAACACTTTTCGCTAGAAAAATAACGACTACTGAGAAAAATATGTCCATATCAAATTCTAACATATCTTAATTGATACGAATATTAAACATTGACATGAATATTTTAGATATTTAATTGATACGAATATTAAACATTGACATGAATATTTTAGATATTTAATTGATACGAATATTAAACATTGACATGAATATTTTAGATATTTAATTGATACGAATATTAAACATTGACATGAATATTTTAGATATTTAATAGCTGACGTTTGATCGAAAATATATCGTTATTGAACTGTGCACAATGCGCTTAAAACCGAAAACATGATCATTTTTTAGTTTTAAAAACGATTTTATGAAAATTACCATGGAGTTATGCATGAGAAAATTACTTTAGATTTGTAAGTAATTAAAAAAGATTTAATAAAACTATGCACTTACTTGAGGGCTTACGTTTCAGCATTTACTTTTTAATTTGTTGTATAGGCTAGTACTGTAGCTTGACAACATATAGACATATTAAATCTATTTTCACACAATACAAATTGTATTTAACAAGTTTTGAGTGTGTGCGATTGTTTGTTTCTAATACTTTGTCTTGTTTGTGTGAAGGGGTTTTAAAAACAACAAAATCTAAAATTAATGTATTTATATTTTTCAGATCATCCGATCCATCCTCCTAAGGATGACAGGGATCCCTGGGATTGTGAGTTCCTACCTGACAACAAGTAAGTTTTAAACCTACGCTTGTTCATATTTATTAGAACTAAGGTCCAGCTCGGATATTGAAATGTACACTGGTTGTGCATGAAGGAACTGAACTTGTATTTGTATTTACAAATCTCTTTTTCATTTTGTTTAGTTCATATTGTTACATAATATAATTATTGATATTATTAGCTGTGAACTTAACTCATTTTAAAGTATTTACAAAACTCTTCATTTTGTTTTGGGATAAATTACACACTTAAACAGCGTTTTAGAATACATTGCAGCTGATTAATTTTAACAATTAGAGACATTTGTATCTTATGTTGTTAGTAGAGGTACATAGTTATTCTTGGTGCATTAACTTTAAATCTAAAGATGTTATCTCTGTTTGTATACATGTTGAAATTTCTAAATTGATTTGATTGGCTATAACAAGAAAAGTTTGTATCTCCATGCAAAGCTTGGTTCTCAATCAAGCACTATTCTTTGATTGTTGCTCCATTGTATAAAAATATATCGTTATTTCTTCTTCTTATAGATTATTGATAATTATGTTGTGTGTTGTCTAGGAATGTGTTGGTCTGTAAGGAAGGTGTATTCTCGGTCTATGCTAATCAAGAAGACGCAGATAATGGAAAAAAGATAGATTTTGAGGTAATACTTTTATATGTCTTGAAACCTTAAAACATGTATCAAAAACAAATTTTAAAATACCTCTTGTTGTTAATGTTTTAAAGTTTAAAAAGTTAAACGAAAGTAATGACTTTAAAAATGAAAAACTCCCCCCTTCCAATTTTCTTTTAGTGTGAATGGAATTTAGTATTTATCACAAACTTTGGTTTTTTAATCAGTGCAACCCTTTCACTATTAATTATTTCAAACTATTAATTGTGATAGATCAAATAATTTAAGTTTGAAATATCAAAGGTTTACACAGTCAGGTTGCAAAGACAAAGGGAATAGAAAATTAGAGTTTGTGGCAAAGACTCAATTCCATTACTGATTTGTTTTCAGGTTCCTGATTTGGCCACATTTGTCAAGGATATGCAGCTTCTCTGTGGACTTATCGCAAACGGTAAATAGAATTATTTAATTCAAAATTTTTCAAATTTATAAAACTCTTTCTTTTAATTAGAGATTTTTATTAACATGATTTGAAATACCGTATTCGTGACAATCAAAAATTTGTTAAAAGAAATAGTCTTTGCCTCAACTTAAGTTTTCGTATCCTTGCAACCTGATAGTATAAAAGTTTGATATTTCAAACTTTGAATATTTAATTTAACAGGGTTCCTAGTTTGATATATCTGATGTATACGACATTGGGTTGCAGAGATACTGGGATTTGAAAATCAGAGTTTGTGATAAAGACTCAATTTCTTTGTAATTTAAGCCCTTGATTTTTTTAAAGGTTCAAGAATAAAAACGAAAAAAATCTTATATTGTGTGCAGGACCTCTGAAAAGTTTCTGTTACCGACGTTTATCCTATCTGAGCAGTAAGTTCCAACTTCATGTTCTACTTAACGAGCTGAGAGAGCTGGCAGCTCAGAAAGCTGTTCCACACAGAGACTTCTATAATGTTAGAAAGGTAATTTATAATTAACTTGTTTTTTGTCCTGAAAGTGCACATTATCTTGAAAAAATGTAATTATAACGTTTTGATAATTTGATAATTTTACTATGCTTTATTCTCAATAGTAACCATTTTTCTTTTTACAATGTGAAAACAGATTTCTCTTTTTTATATTTATATTATATTTATGTTTATATGTATTTTCATAAATATTACTTTGAGGCAGGTCCATTGAGTCGTGTCAAGTTTTGGGCCAGTTCGGTTCAGTCGTTTTGACGGTTTTTGGATTCAATAAAATCAAGAAACAACAAACAAACACGTAGACAATCCAAATACACTTTATTTGGGGTGAAACATTGGATGCTAAATTTTTAAATTAATAACATCATTGTAACTTTCATTCGTGAAATGAGGAAAAAATATTGTTTACCCTTTGTTTAGGTTGATACTCATATTCATGCTGCATCCTGTATGAATCAGAAACATTTGCTCAGGTTTAAACATTGTTTTATTAGAATTTACATTATTGTACCAGTTCCAATATTTATTTGTTTTTACATAGACTGAATTTAATTCTTCGAAGACACTTAGTATTTACAAAAAGTAAAATAAAAGGAAGATTTTATAAAACACTTAACCAGCCTTCGAAATTAATAATTTCAGATCAAAAAGACTTAATTATTTATTATTATTAAAAGACAACCCATTATTCAATGAAATTCAACTTCAAATATCTAGCTGTATACTGAAGCTCTTCGCTCATTTTAGATTGTTTATAACAACTTATATTTAGGTTAATTCAGCTGGTTTAACATATGTTAGATTGTTTATAACAACTTATATTTAGGTTAATTCAGCTAGTTTAACATATGTTAGATTGTTTATAACAACTTATATTTAGGTTAATTCAGCTAGATTAACATATGTTAGATTGTTTATAACAACTTATATTTAGGTTTATCAAGAAAACTCTAAAAACTGATGGAGACGAACCAGTCTGTAAGGTGAAAATTTAAAAGAAAAATATAAGATTGACATTTTTACGCTTTTTTAAAATCTTTAAATACTGGGGTGTCATCTTAAAGAGACACCTTTGTTTTCAGTACAAGCTTGAGAAAATAAAATATAATCTTTTAAGGTTTCAACCTTTCCGATAAAGAGAAAATTTCGGTCCAAACAAATTGTGCAAAAATAATAGCGTTTTTGATCATTTTTTTGAAATGTTTGTTGATACAATGGTTATATCTAAACATGATAAGACTTTTAACAAAAAATGCTTATTTAAATTTTATTTTCATTTGAATTAAAGAAAGAAGTTGAGTCTTTGCCACAAACTCTGATTTTCTAATCCCTATATCTTTGTAACCCAATGTCTTAGACCTTAAATATTTCAAACTATAAATTCTGTTAGATTTAATAATCTATCTAAGGTTTACACAATCAAATTGTAAAGATATAGGGATAAAAAAAAATCATTGTCTCACAACACAATGACTTAATTCATTACCATAAAGAACACAATTATAGCTTGATAAAATATATTATAGAATGGAGAGATGACCCTACGTGATGTATTTGAATCTCTGAATGTTACAGCTTATGATCTAACAGTAGACATGCTTGATGTTCATGCTGTAAGTATTAAACTAACAATTCATAATGGTTTCTTAATCCATCCTTTTACTATTCATCCCTGGAATTTAACTTAGTTTTTAGTTTTAGTTATTGTTAAATCTACATTTTATAAATTTCCATCTTAAAATATAAGATTTAACTGCTAGTCTTAAAACATGTGTTCTTTTATAGGTACAATATATATATAATATGTTGCTGAAAAAAGTGCTAAATGCTTGCGTTGTTTATAGTTTTAATATATAGGCTATTCAGTCAACATTTATACTTAGTGAGTTAGTATTTATAAATATTATTTCTGTCCAACATTTTAATATACTACCATTTGAGAGGATGCAATTATCAATTAGCAAGTTGTAATTTCTGTTTGTCTGTTTGGATTCCCGATCATAACTCATGTACCCATACACGATTTTCCTTAAAATTTGATTGGGGTACTCGGGAGTGGGTTTACACAGGGCAAATAGCTAAAATTGTAATTTACGACCAAGCGAGTGTAAACGACAGTAGTAACTACTGGATCTGAAGCTAGTTAGCTATAAGTTCAAAACAACTTTGTTTTCATTTTTGTATTTATGTCTTTCTTTTCCCCTGAATTAATAGACACTACCTCTATCAGAATATTATTTCCAGGATCGGAATACGTTCCATAGGTTTGATAAGTTCAACGCTAAATATAATCCTATTGGAGAATCAAGGTATTAGAGACAAAACTTAATATATTTTGCTTTAAGGCATGAAACTTAGTGTTAAACATAATTCTTTTTATATTAAAAAACTGACATTTAATACAAATTCAATTGCAATATTCTTCAAATAAATAAAAATGAACAGTCTCGTTTCAGAAATATAAAAAAAATATTTTCTTTACAATTTTCAATTTGTGCCTTTTTATAATTTTTGAATAAATTTGTCCGTTACAAATGTTTTAAATGATGAGCTTTAGAATATTAACTCATGCTTTTATGTAATCCATTTATTTTATAAACTTCAGGCTAAGAGAGGTGTTTATGAAAACAGATAATGAAGTTGGAGGCAAATATTTCGGTAAACTCATCAAGGTAGGAATAAACTAAATCTTTCTTAGTAAACAATTAAACGAGAAGCAAGCTCAGACTAACAAATTTATTGTTTGAATTTAAAAGAATATATTTTCTCGCTCTAGGATTGATTTCTCTTTTAATTTGATCATTTATTAGTTCTGTACGTTTATACTTAAAGGGACTGTAAGCGTAATTTCAGATGACCCTTCATGCAAAGATAGCAATACCCGATTAAAAAATATACCCCTTCATAGCTTTGTATGATCAAGTATACATAGATCATACAAGTTTGCCGCTTTAGTAATTGTAAGTTAGCCATACAGTCCAAACTAGGCCCAGCTCGGATACCGTTGTAAATCACGCATTACCCTCTTTGCACTGAAGGTCAATTGAAATTACGCTTATTGTCCCTTTAAATGACATATAATCACCGTATTAAGGAGATTAAACAAACATTTATTAATCCAACCCACCTTAATGTTATAACTATTATGAATATTATACGTTACGTATTTTATTTAGGAAGTGTTTGTTGATCTTGAGGAATCTAAATATCAAAATCTGGAGCTAAGGTACGAAACCAAATTTTAAAATGTTTAATTTTATGTTTATGCTCTGCTGGACATTATATATTATCTCAGATTGTCTATCTATGGAAGAAATATCAATGAATGGGATATGCTGGCAGACTGGGCTATCAGAAACAACGTATACTCAGGTATAAAAATACAAGTTTATGATTTTTTATTTAGTATTTTATGTTTGCTCACCTTACCTTCACACCAAAATCATGATACATATTTTTGTTACCTATGGAATTACATTTTATGGCCAGCAAATTAATAAAAGTTAGACCTCTAAACTTAACGGTTTAACACAACACGTTTCTACATCCATTTTTCAAGGAGTTTTTAAATAAGTAAATAGAAATTTGAAACACCGACTAGCCCTTAGACCGTCCTCTACCCTAGCCTATGCATACAATAGTTTTTTTTTTTGCATAAATTTGCTTGGAGTTTTAAGTTGGAAAAGTGAACAGGGGGGTGGAGGGGGGGAATTCCCCCCCCTCCAATCGTTATATGGTTAAATTTTGATGCTAAATAATTAAATAACTTTATCTTTATATCATATATTTAATCTAGACAATGTCCGTTGGTTGATTCAAGTTCCTCGTCTCTTTGATATCTACAGGGTCAACAACTGTGTAGAAAACTTCCAGCAGATCCTGACCAACCTGTTCCAACCTCTATTCGAGGTTACGAAGGATCCAGCCTCACATCCTTCACTGCACAGGTTTATATACAGGATGTACAAAGATAAAGGGGGAATAAGGGTTCAGACTCTGCAGACCACTCCACGGAGACTCATCTGAAACCGGACAAGTCGGAAACTGCTGTGCTCCATTTTTCAATTTTCAACATTTTCCTGTTCTCAAAAAATTGAATTTCCTGTTTAAACAATTAGGAAATGACAACAAAAAACTTGAAAATCGGAACAATTTCAATTTTTCCAGGATTCGCATTAATATTTTTTACTAAAATATCTTGTTTTTTAATTCTCTATTCGAAGAATTATTGTGATTTTATACATCTAAATAGATCCAACACAATAGGATAATGTTAAGGTTTCTGCAGTACGTTATTGGATTTGACAGTGTGGATGATGAATCTAAACCTGAAAATCCTATGTTTGATGTCGATGTTCCTACTCCAGACCAGGTACAGTACAGTACAGTGCAGTGCAGTGCAGTACAGTTTAATGCAGTGCAGTTCAGTACAGTGCAGTTCAGTGCATTTCAGTACACTGCATTACAGTGCAGTGCAGTGCAGTATAGTACAGTACATTGCAGTACAATGCAGTACAGTGCAGTACAGTACATTATGTCACAGTACAGTACAGTGCAGTACAGTGCAGTACAGTGCAGTGCAGTGCAGTGCAGTACAGTGCAGTGCAGTGCAGTACAGTGCAGTAAAGTGCAGTACAGCGCAGTACAGTACATTACAGTACATTACACTACAGCGCAGTGCAGTGCAGTACAGTGCAGTGCAGTGCTGTGCAGTGCAGATCTATAAATTTAGTAAATAATATCAGAACGGTCTGATTTCCGAAAAAATACTTAATGCATAACATTATTGATGAAAGTTAACAAATGACACAGTAAAATTGATTATTTTCAATGTAAAATTATATATCTAGTGGACTGAAACTGAGAATCCTCCGTATTCCTACTATATCTACTACATGTTCGCCAACATCACAGTGCTAAACCACTACAGAGAGGTCAGATAAACAAAATAAGAATTAATTAAAACTTTACCATCAAGTGATTAAGTGACACCAAAATTAAGTCAAATATATTTAGTAATAATGCTGCGAATCAAGTAAATATATATATACACTTTGTATGTGATGATTTGAACAAATAACACATTTATAATACATTAGATGTAAATATATATGCAATATTAATGTCGCAGGAAACCTACAGCCTAAATCTTTTCTGCCCCAAAGCATATATCCACATAATACACCTATCGAAAGTTGAGTTTCAACTTAAAATAATCGAAGAAAAAGATGAACGACACAAAAATGGGCAATTTTTGTTATTCAAAAGTTAAAAAGTTGCTAAATTTTATTTAGCATATATAAACTACAGCTCATTTCCCTTCTTGTGAACCCGCTCAACAGAGCTTGGGATCATTTTATATTTTGATTAATTGATTTAGTCACGTGGTTTAAATACCTTTGTATTCCGACCCCACTGTGGAGAAGCAGGACCAGTTCAGCATCTTGTATCAGCATTCATCATGTGTGAATCCATCTCTCATGGTCTTCTTCTGAGAAAGGTCGAAATAAACTTAAATATCAAAGTCACAATCCGTAATTAAGTAATCTTGAAAGTTATAACTTTTGTGCCTCTAATTTCTGGATCCAGCTACCTCCGTTGTTCGTTGAACAAGCCATTATTTTTTCGAATTAATTTAATCTTTAATTGGGAGAATTTTTGCGAGCAACCATACTTGTATCTAATGTCTTATGTCTTGTTAATCTCCATCTGTGTAAACTGATTAATTTAATTCCTTGATATCCTGTGGCTGTGGTGGGAAAAAAGAATTGATCAAACATTGGATATTTAGATCAAGATTACCGATGTTCACACAAAAGTTCCGATGTCCACATAAAATTTGGGTTTAAAATTCTCACAACAAACAACATTCCTAAGTAATTATTAACAATCCCACTTGAAAATTTGCAGCTTTTGTTAAAAAAAGAAATCGATTATTTTAGTTTGGTCTAATAAATCCCAACTATACGTTTAAACTCTTAATTGAAAGTTCCAGATTAGTAATTCGTTTTATTCAGGTTCCAGTTCTCCAGTATTTATACTATCTTTGTATGTAGGTTCCAGTTCTCCAGTATTTACATACTATCCTTGTATGTAGGTTCTAGTCTTCCAGTATTTATATACTATCTCTGTATTTAGGTTCCAGTTCTCCAGTATTTATATTCTATCTATTAAATTAAGTATTAAATTAAAATGTAAAAATTGTGAAACTTAAATTGCTTTTAATTAAATATTTAGTCAAATATATATCTATCTATCTCTCTATTTAGGTTCCAGTTCTCCAGTATTTATATACTATCTCTGTATTTAGGTTCCAGTTCTCCATTATTTATATACTATCTCTGTATTTAGGTTCTAGTTCTCCAGTATTAATATACTATCTCTGTATTTAGGTTCCAGTTCTCCAGTTTTTATATACTATCTCTGTATTTAGATTCCAGTTCTCCAGTATTTATATACTATCTCTGTATTTAGGTTCCAGTTCTCCAGTATTTATATACTATCTCTGTATCTAGGTTCCAGTTCTCCAGTATTAATATACTATCTCTGTATTTAGGTTCCAGTTCTCCAGTATTTATATACTATCTCTGTATTTAGATTCCAGTTGTCCAGTATTTATATACTATCTCTGTATTTAGGTTCCAGTTCTCCAGTATTAATATACTATCTCTGTATTTAGGTTCCAGTTCTCCAGTATTTCTAAACTATCTCTCTATTTAGGTTCCAGTTCTCCAGTATTTATACTATCTCTGTCAGATAGGAATTGCTATGTCTCCTTTATCCAACAATTCTCTCTTCCTCAACTACAATAGGTTCGTCATACCTTTTTCATTTTAATTTATTATATTTTACTTAACATGCAAATCTCACACTCGATCTAAAAGGCCAAATATATGAGACTTTACTGGTACACCTTTTGACCTAGCTAGAGGATTAAATTGTCTCTATATCTACTATAGGTCTCCACTACCAGATTATCTAGCTAGAGGATTAAATGTCTCTTTATCTACTGATGATCCTTTACAGTTCCATTTCACAAAGGAACCATTAATGGAGGAGTACAGTATTGCTGCTCAGGTATTATATTAAAATTATATTTAAAGGAACTGTCATTATAATTTCCTTGAAACCTTTATCTGATCAATTATGCTGAAGATACTTCATTTTATCTGTGGCTTAATTAGTGTTTGATTCTGATAAATTCCTCCTATGGCTCTGTACTGCAGAGAAAAATAGATAACTCATTCATTAGGATCACAAAGGTTTTACGGGTTTCGTTGTGTGAATTTATATTGACAGCCTTCACTTTATATTTGTCCCTTTAATTCTTCGAATACCTGTATTACATAATTTGAATTTAATTCATTTCCATAAGACTTCTGATAATTTGTGTAAAAACATGATTTTCACCCAAAAAAACCATAAACGCATTACGCTGAAAGTTTATAGAATGAAATTAAAGGGTTATATGCTAACATGAATAAAATGTTGTTAAAGGGTTATATGCTAACATGATTTAAATGTTGTTAAAGGGTTATATGGTAACATGATTTCAATGTTGTAAAAGGGTATAGCTAACATGATTTAAATGCTGTTAAAGGGTTATATGCTAACATGATTTAAATGTTGTTAAAGGGTTATATGCTAACATGATTTAAATGTTATTAAAGGGTTATATGCTAACATGATTTAAATGTTGTTAAAAGGTTATAAGATAACATGATTTAAATGTTGTTAAAGGTTTATATGCTAACATGATTTAAATGTTGTTAAAAGGTTATAAGATAACATGATTTAAATGTTGTTAAAGGTTTATATGCTAACATGATTTAAATATTGTTAAAAGGTTATATGCCAACATGATTTAAATGTTGTTAACAGGTTATATGCTAACATGATTTAAATGTTGTTAAAGAGACTTTATGCTTAATTGCAAGTGACCCTACGTTCTCTATGCAAAGATGACAATGTTTAGTTTAGTTAGCAGTGCCCTTTAAACTTTGTCTGATCAAGTAAGAATTAGAAATTCATGTGTTTTAGTTTTTTAATACTGCATCTTTTCTATTGGGTCTCGTAAATTGGGCATTTCTTGCTTTTAAGAAACGGAGGAGAAAATTATCTGAACTTAAAACTTTTCAGGTCAGAAAAACGACAATATCTTCCACATTCTTGATCAGATCAAGGTTTCAAGGTTACCACTGTAAATTGGGCATTGTTATCTTTGCATGGAGTCACTTAAAATTATGCTTACCATTTTTTTAAGGGAAATAATTTTACCTGTAGAATATTTGCCACTGGTAGATACTGAGCTGTAATTAATTCATTAATATTTCTAGGTGTGGAAGTTGTCTAGCTGTGATATGTGTGAGCTAGCCAGAAACTCTGTTATTACAAGTGGATTCTCACACCATGTAGGATAATTATTATTTGACAATTCGAGCATTGAAATTAAATACCATTTTTAATTATTGAAAATACAAATTTAGGGATAAAAATTGAATTAGAAAATTACATTCACCTCCGTTGAATTATATAAACAGCCACACGAGCGGGGAAAGACAGGCGGCCATGAGCCGTATTGAAAATCGCAATTTGAATGCCCCAAATTTACCATTTACAAAAGTAATAATTGCCGGAAAACGAAAATGTTGTGGCATATAGTAGCTCATGGCTGCCGTAAGACAAAAAGCTAATATGTTTATGTTGCATGGAAGGTAACCGGTTGTGGCTTATGGCCGCATGCCTTCTTTCGCTCCCACACAAGTTCTACAGGAGAGAAAAAAATCTTTTTTGTGATAAAAATTCTATTTGTATTTAGGTTAAACAGCACTGGTTGGGTCCGAACTATACCCGTGAGGGGGTAGCTGGGAATGATATGACTAGAACTAATGTTCCTGATATCCGGGTATCCTATAGATCAGAGACACTCATGGCAGAGCTATCCAACATTTTCAACTCTGTAACTGATGATAAACAGAAACAAACTATATTTTAGATTTATTAGATTATCTTTTTAGTATTTACTACCTACATTGTTCAGTTTATATCAGAACTAAGCTTCAAGTAAAAGCAATATTGCATGAATTTTAAATTTGACTAAAGGAAAGCTTGTCGCTTATATCGTATTGTTCTGAGCAAAAGTACAGCTAAATCACTTCCATTGATTTTAATTGTTCGTTTGTCAGTCAATTTGTTCTGTAGTACATTAGCATGTACTACGTACGTAGTACATACATAGCATATATATATATATATATATATATATATATAAATCTGATTTAATGCTATTATTATGTTAAAGGGACTGTACAATAATTTCAAGTGACACTCCATATGAAGATTGAAGATGACAATGACCGATTTACAACGGTACCCTTGAAAGCTTTTTCTGATCAAATATGAATTAGATAGAAATTTTTATGTTTCTTTGAACAGTGTATTATCATTAGCGGTTTCTTTGCGAAAGTGGCTTGCGCATACTTTGTTTATAAGAAGCAATGGAGAAACTCGCAGAAATAAACACTTTTTGAATCGGAAAAACGACGGGTTATTCCACATTTTTTATTAAATGAAGGTTTCAAGGGTACCGTTGTATTGCCATCTTTGCATAGAGAGTCAATTGAAATTACACTTACAGTTCCTTTATGAAGATTAGAATACCATAGACTGTTCTAAATTTTATATCTTGGTTTAATAATATCCTGACTGCCTAGGCTTATTGCCTGAGTCTGATTTTAATCCTAATTATGTATTTCCTGAATCCCCAACATTTTTATTCATCATGGTACTCTTGCTGAGAACTCACTAGTAAAACTTAATTTATATTTATAATTTTTAAAAAACTTGCCCTTTGCTATTTATTGACTATATAATATATTTAGAAATTAAACTTGTTTTACTTTATCAAGAGAGAAAGAGAATGTGGTGTATTGAGTTAAGGGAAATAAATCCTAATATTATAAAAATGAGCCATTAAATAAAATATGTAGAAAAGTTGAGATTCACATGAAAATTGAGGAAATTATATAAAATGTTGACGGTTAAGATTTCTCCGGACGGATCTGTGATTTACTACACTTAACCCCAGAACTTCAGAAAAATCGAAATAATTTATAAAATGTCGTCTTGACAATTTTCAATGAATTTTATACTAAATTTCAGTAACTGTTAAAATAAATGAATAGCCAAGAAACATGCGGGAAATCTGCAGCATTTAGACATTAAATATCTCCAGGGTTAAGAAAAAGACATATTAAAAAAATCTTTCGATGTCTAAGAAGTGGTGAGTTAAACTTTATTAATGTATGCCAGATGAAGTTAGTGATTGGTTGGGCATTAATTTTGGTTCAGTTTTTAAACTTTTTAATAATAATAATCAGTAGAAACAGGTTCCAACATTTAAAAACTGTTTTCAATGGGTTTCATACAGAGCGTCCGATATCATTAGATTATCTCCAAGCTTTAACGTCAAAATAAACATATTATATTCGAAAAACATAGCATTTCCTGCAAGAAAATTTTTATATTAGCCTAATTCAATTTTTCAAATGATTTATTCTTCTTAATTTTTGTGGTTATACCCGGAAATTGTAATTTTGACCCATTGACGATCCAATATGATATGGGACACATCTGTAATATTTTACGTAAATCGCAGTATTTGCGAAAATAAATAAATATCCTTGAATATGTGGGAACAGTTTTAAAGAGCTCCATATAATCCGAATTGATATTCAGAGCCGATAAGATCATGCCCATTGGTTTGGCATTGATCACCTAAGAGCTTGTTTTATAGCTACGCTTGTGTCCGATAGACCCATTGGTTTGGCATTGATCGCTGAAGAGTTTGTGTCCTGGTTGACATTTGTAGCGAACGAGTTGTACCTGGAGTGATACAGTTCTGGACTAAGTTTTAAGAGTACGGCATTTACTACATTTATTCTTTTATTTAAAAAAACTTTTTCGTGCATTAATAAAAATTTTACTGAACCAAAACAGCTTTAGTCCGAATATATCTTTTAACTTATTATACTTTATACTTTTCTAAATTTCTTCCTGGCATGTGTAAGATAAGATAAGAATAGTCTAAGTTAAAGGCAGATATTATTGTATCCTCGTCTTATCTCAACTCTGATAACATTGATGCAGTAATAATATTATATTAGGAAAAGTAAGTAGTTGTTAAGTCAGCTAATACCGTGTTATCCACAAAAGATGAGACTGTAAGACGACCTAAAACTCCGAAAATATGACTATCCCAACGTAAAATCAAGTCTTTAGTCTAAAATGTAGTCTTCTAATACTTCATTTATAGTTCATTAAATGATTTGATAAACATAGAAATAAGTTTGCAGTTGCAGGGATTTACAGTGAGAAAACAGAATGCATAAATTCTGAACAATCGGTTCTCAAGTCTCATCCTAAGTGGGTAACCCTGTATCTGCACAAAGGATAAGAATTCAGTTTTCTCACATTATACAAAGCATTTTTTAAAGTACAAAATTCAACCTTTAGTTTTATTGAGGGAGTAAGGAATAGCAGGGAGATATGATTATACAATATTATACATGCTTTGCAGTCGGATACTCCATTTGATAAAATAAATATTCATAATAGGTTATTGTATACACAATAAATGTACATCAGACAAATATTTCTTATTCAAATGAAGTACCGTCTGCAAAGCATGTATAGTCATATGGTAGGGCGAACCGCGTCAGTTATATATCCTTTCTATTCCTTACTCCCTGGTTTTATTCAAGGAGTTTCCGACCGGTCATCCTTTTGGATAATCCTGTACTTGAGATGAATAACGACACTCAATAAAGTTTGACTGAATATTTGTCCAAGATCAGATTTATTGAATAGCGAGAAGTGGTTGAACCACGTAGCGCAGGTTCATGCAGTTCTCCTGTGCGCCGGGTCAAATTCACAGAGATCAAGACTGGGACGACTTTAAAGTGTCGCAACAAGCTAGTTTTGGATTTACTCACACTGATTAAATTATACTTATCTGTAGCCCTGAACAAACAAATTTTAGAACAATAAAGGACTTGTTTTAAAAAAAAGTTTCAATAAATAAATTGGCAAAATTCCCATTGGTGGTTGCGTGAGAACTTGCAACATTTGGATCACTGTGAACTAAAGAGAAGTGGTTGAATTTAGTCTATGTAGTTCGACATTCATTAAATCTGTTCTTTGGTTAATTTTTCTGCGACATTGCTAGTGTAAAGAAATAGCAAACATAAGTCGTCGTTAGAAAATAAGTCGTCTTCATTTAAATTTACAACGGTCTCAGACCTTTCAGTCCTCGACCCAATTGTAAAAAATTATACTTTACTTATTTTTGTCAAAATAATAATTATTATTATTGTATTCTAAAGAGTATTTGAGAATATTCACGAGACAAATATATTCTAAAAAGAATTTAAGAACAAAGCTACACAATTTGGAATTAATCCCTATGCTTATACGACTAAAGCTTAGGGATACATTTTTTTCAAAACTTTTGATAAATTTAATTTTTACAGGGACTGCAGTCGTCTAAACGTAATATCAAGTAACCCTCCATACCAAGCTGGCAATGTCAGATTCACACAGAATCTATTAAAAGCTTTGTCTGATCAAGTATGAATTATGTTTATGATTTGGAAAACTTAATGTGTTTAATTATAATTTCTCTACAAAAGCGACTTGCGCATTTCAACTTCAGAAAATATATGGGAATTATCAGAATATAACACTTTTACTCTAGAAAAATGACAATATCTTCCATATCATTGATCAGATAAAGGCTTCAAGGATACCGTTATCAATGGGGAATTGACATCTTTGCCATCTTTGAAATTATAGTTACAGTTCCTATAACGTAGATTTTTATAAAAAAAATATGTTTTTTACGTTTAAATTTAGACGAGTATGGACCCCGAGGATGAGATCGAAGGGTTCAGGGTGGTTGTAGAATCTTTAAAAAATCTTGGAGTAAAATACATTTTTGGAGTTGTTGGAATTCCAGTTGTCGAGGTAAATATCAGCAGTTAACTGTCACTTCGGGTGGCCACTGCTCATCCTCCATATTTAATTTTTAAACTTTACACCTAAAACTTTATTTTGATTCGAAGTTTTTGAACAACAATTTTTTCTTCAGAAGGTTCAATTAGGGCTGTTATTTCTTTTCAAGCTTTTTAGCGAGGGAAACTCATATAAGTAGTAATCTCTGTTTTTAGCGAGGGAAAATCATATAAATAGTAATCTCTGTTTTTAGCGAGGGGAAATCATATAAGTAGTTATCTCTGTTTTTAGCGTGGGAAAATCATATAAGTAGTAATCTCTGTTTTTAGCGAGGGAAAATCATATAAATAGTAATCTCTGTTTTTAGCTAGGGGAAATCATATAAGTAGTAATCTCTGTTTTTAGCGTGGGAAACTCATATAAGTTGTAATCTCTGTTTTTAGCGTGGGAAAATCATATAAATAGTAATCTCTGTTTTTAGCGAGGGGAAATCATATAAGTAGTAATCTCTGTTTTTAGCAAGGGAAAATCATATAAGTAAATTAGTAATCTCTTTTTGGAAGTCCAATATATGAATGATTTGAAAATTGTAAGAGGAGTGCATTGACTTTTATGGGAACAAGTTCAGGCAAAGCTGCGTTTCCAATTGCTAGTTTAAAATATAAAAAGTTAAAAATGACGATGTTGTATCAGATAGTTTTTATGAAATTTGTATGCACTGAGCACTCGTTATAATACAATATACAGTATATATACATGATATGACTTCAGAGCCCGAAATTTAAAATAGTATCGGTTAACGAAACTCTCTAGTTTCCTTTTTCGGGCCTTAACTTTTGTGAAGATTTTGATTTAAAAGATTTTGAAAAAATAGGAGAATATAAAAAACTAAATATAATAAAATTTCTTAACACAACTTTATATCCACAAAACTGCCTAACCCCATTCGTGAAACCCGGGTTCTAAAACTGGTTTTTATACAATACTCTGTCTTAAGTTTTGGGCTATGTACAATTGTACGAAATTTGTACTGTCTGATTCCTCTGTAAACTTGTTTGTTTATTTACCAAATTTTTAAATAAGCCATTAGAAAACTATGTATTTATAAGACAGAATATATAAGTAAGCCTTGGGATCGTCACATTTTAAGAGTTTTCGGTCGTCTTTACACTCTCATCCTTTGTGGGTAACCCTGTATATAAAAAAACAATTTTTCTACAAAACCAAAAAGTATGTTCATGCTTATTACATTTTGCACTGTGATTATGGTACTATGCTATACTACTATCAATCATCAATATTATCTAGATAGGAGTAGCAGCTCAGCAGATTGGAATCCAATATGTTGGGATGAGAAACGAACAAGCTGCTTGCTATGCTGCTCAAGCTATAGGATACCTAACAGGTCTTAAATTCGTATATTAAACCTTACCCAAACACATTTTATGTTACAAAGACTGTAAATCGACAATTTTGTCCTTCACATTATTTCATTATTTATCAGACTGCATTTCTTGTCTTACTAATATAAATTTTACTAGGCTGGCCAGCTGCTTGTCTAGCTGTTTCTGGACCAGGAGTTCTTCACTGTATCGCTGGTCTTGCTAATGCTAAGTATGCTATTTATTTTATTCATTTAATTAAAGAAATATATGCAATGGCTACTACCATGTAACCCCTGGCACAATTGTACAAAGAGCAAGAAAAGAAATCTAACCATTTATTATTTTTAGGGAGAATTGTTGGCCTATGATTCTTATTGGTGGATCTAGTGAAACAAGGCAGGAGGGAGTTGGGGCTTTTCAAGAGTGGCCTCAAATAGAATCAGTCAGGTAAGAGTCTGGGAAGAAATCATAATAATTTGAGTACTAACAGAGATCCCCATGACCATCTCATCGGGACTCCCAGATTTTCTTTACAGACCCCAATCTTTTCATTGGAGACCCCAGGCTTTTCATCAGAGACCCCAGATTTTTATTGGAGACCCCAAGCTACCATTTTCATTGGAGACACCAAACTTTTGGGTCTCCAAGGGACACCTAAAGTACGCAAACAATGTACATTAGCCATTTGTCCTGTAAAGTATCAAGGCATTATAATTATAGAAAAGTAAAATTATAGACATTTTTTAAAATTTATAATAAAATTTCATAATTCTCAGATATTTTAGCAATTTCTATCATGTTTTTCGTTATTCTGGCATTTTGATAAGATTGAACATAAGCAGCCTTTCATTGTTTTCATAGACCTGACACTTTCATAAGATTTGATTTAACAGTAACAATGTGTACATTTTGATTGTTATTGTGGGGTTTAGGGTGAGTACAAAGTACTGTGGACGTCCGGCTCAGGTTGACCTCATCCCTCGCCAGCTTGAGAGAGCGGTCAGAACATCAGTGTATGGACGTCCTGGACCTTGCTATATTGATCTTCCAGGTAAATTGTGTGTTTTTAATTTGTATTGTTAGCATTGCCAAGAACAAAGATTGTTGTAAAAAGGACTTCGTAAATCTTATTTTGTTTTGAGATCATATTTATAAGGTTTTCTAAAAATTTACAATTTGAGGTGATATGTTGAATATGAGAGTCAAGTACAAAGATGTTTACTTCAATCCTTTGCCTCCTCCACCTCCAAAGGTCACAAATCCCAAAAAAAGATGTGTTTTCTGAAAACTTTTAGTATGAACTTGTTTTTCTAGATGCTTCCTGAAGATAGAAATATGATGGAGGCCATTGAACTTCTTAAGTCTGCAAAAAGACCGCTCATAATAATTGGTGAGATTTATGAGTAATTGGTCTAGATTTAATCAAAAGTATAGACCTGGGCAGTGGATGCTACTCTGTTAACGGTGAGTGTTGTTAATTTTGTATCCCTAACCCAACCTAGATTAAAAACTGAGAACCTCTCATTGGTGAAATGTGTTTGGTCTCACATTGAAAAGATAACATTTTTAGTAGGGTTGAGTTAAGTATAAACATAAATGCCTTTCACCATTAACCCTATCCCTGCTGGGGTACTTGAAAACCAGGATACGCTGGGGGGGGGGGGCAATTTGACCCCCCCCCCGTCTAAATCCCATGTTTTATGTCCAAATATGACAAATGATATATCATTAGAAAGCTCTTGTGCTCTACTTTTAGAATCTGCAAAAAAATTTGCAAATTTGCGAAAATTGAATTTTTATCGCAAAATACCATTTTATAGTAAAAATGTTTGCAAAAAAAAATTTTTCCAAAAAATGACAAATTATACATTTTTGAAAAGCCCTTGACCATGCCATTTCAAATATGCAAAAAATTTTGCAAAATTTTAAATAACCTGATTTTTAATCAAGAAAAACTAAAAATGTGCAAATTTCCTTTGACAGGTTGTTTGCAAAAAATTTGCAATTTTTTTTTCGCAAAACTTGTGCAATCCGTTTCCCTATGTCATAGGCTTTCCAAAAAGCTAAATTTTATCAAAATCTGACAAGTGAAAGTGGGTCAAAACAAAGATTTAGTTTGTTACAGGCAAAAGCAGTCATTCAGGAAGTGTGCCTGAGGACTCAGGCAGTTAGTATTAAAGCCCGGTTTTAGGCCTAAAGGGAGGGCTTTGGGTATGTAAGAAAAGTCAGAAAATTTCAACAGCCTCATACCAATACTTTTTGAGTTATGTAAAAAAAACTACAGGGGGGGGTCAAATTGACCCCCCCCCCAGCAGGAATAGGGTTAATGGAATGTTGCCCAGTCCTAAAAGCAAGTAGTTCAACTACTTCTTAATATTTCTCAAATTAGGGACCAAATTTAATGACTTCTAGCAAGTTTGTTGAACTGCTTCACATACTTGGTTGATCCATACTTAATTGTAGTTCTGCAGTGTAGTTATCATCTAAAGGACTTTGACAAATGCTGAATCATGGATTCAAGATATACAGTTGATTAAACCGTCTCTAGACTTGGCTCAAATGCAGACTGGTTCTTGATTGATAAAGTTTTAATTTACATCATTTAGATAATAACTATACAATGTTGTATTATAGTATTTGAAATATTCATAAAGTGCATGGTTAATGTTTCTTTATAAGTAAAACAAGCAAGGAGTTGCACACAAACATATTATTGTAAGAATTGTAAGAATGTAGATTTTTGCATGCAATTAATATTGCATACATATACCTGATTCTCATTTGTTTTTACATAAATCTAGAAAGCAACTTGTAATTTTCCCTAACATGACCTTGCTTGTATGTCTATGATGTCACTTTTTACTAATCTCTGAAAAAATATATGGACATTGTACATCCTATTTGATTTTAAAAACAGGAAAGGGAGCAGCATATGGTCGGGCTGAGATGGAGTTGAGAGCCTTAACCCGGGAGCTAAATATCCCAGTTCTTCCAACACCTATGGGTAAAGGAGTTATTCCTGATGACTCCGACTTGGTGATTAGCGCAGCAAGATCTAAAGTTTTAGGTAATTAAGAATAATTGTATTCAGATGTTGTTTCAAGTGAGTTTAAATCTGAGATATGGAAATAATGTTGGCAATGAACGATTATTTTTATCAAGGTTCTAAAGCATTTTAATAATAATCAAATGTTCAGAGGAGGCTGATGTTGTTCTACTGGTTGGAGCAAGGTTAAACTGGATGCTACACTTTGGCACACCACCAAGATGGTCATCAACTGTTAAAGTAATCCAGGTTGACCAACAATTTTCATCATTATCTTCCGGCTGGCTGGCACCCTCAAGGATTTTTTGAATATCTCTCTTTAATGCCGTTTATTATATCTTTACTGAATGGAAACTTTCAGGAAGAATTGAAACTGCTATAGACAAACAGAATATTCAGTTCTTAGCAAGGGAATAAACGGCGACCAGAAAAATTTTTTTTTCAATGATTTTAAAACACCATTATGGTTTTAAAAAATCTGAATGTGCCCATCCCTAGTTCAAATCTTCATATTAACTTGTTAAGATGGATATCTGCGCAGAGGAAATGCATAATTCTATACATTCATCTGTAGCTCTTCAAGGAGATATTCAGGGACATCCTAACAGTGATATGGATAGAAAAAAAATATAGTATTTAAATTTAGATGGTCCAACAGGAACACTTTGACAATGACCATAGCTATAAAAATTTTTTAGCATCTTAATTTTTGAAAAGAGCAAATACAGGGTTTCTAACTAAAGATGATACTGTAAAGATGACCTTAAAATCTTTAAATACAATTTCAAGGGTAAACTAAGTTTTCTGCTTTAAATACAGACTTTTTATGGTTTATTGAGTGATTTGACAAAAAAAAGATCAAGTTTACAGTTGCAGGGAATCATGAAAATTAGAAAACAGACAGTACAACTTTCTCTAAAGTTTAATTCCTTGTGGTAAGCAAAAGACACACAATGCACTGGTTATGAACATGTTTTAAAAGGTTACTACTGCTCGCTTAAATATTCTAAAAGGTAAAATTTCCTTATTTAAAGTATTTATAGATCTTTATCAAAAATTCATTTTATGCAGGAAACTTCAAATTCAGCAATTCTTCCCCCTGGTGGATAGAGTTAAGAAAGTAAGGCAATATTTTGTAATTCAATATTTAATGATTTAATATACAATAATAAGCATTACTACTTTAAAACTGATACACTCTGCAACCATAGAGAATAGAATATATATTAGAGGGGAATTTAAAGAATCTCTCGGTATGAATTTTTTCAGTCCCTTTCAGCCTGAAAGGGAGTTTAAAGTGTACAAATAATAAAAATGTTCACAAAGTATATGCAGTAGAGTACATTAATACAGTATGTTCCCTAGACTATTCATTTCAATTTCGAATTTTTTAAACTGTTAAATAATCTTAATAATGAATTAGGTGAATAAAAAACATCATTTGATTTATAGTTATAACGGAAAATCATTGTTTGTAAAGTGGAAGGCATAGAGTCTATGTGAAATGATCATTGGTCAATTATGAAACCAGACTATTTCATAATTTGGTTTTCTTTTAACAATAATTTTAGATTTTCTATAAAATGATATGCCAGGGCCCAAAAGGTTATATAGCACAAATATGTGAAGTACACCTGCAGTATGGAAACAGTACAACAAAATGGCCGTTTTACACTTTTTTCTTGTAAATTCCCCTCTAATATATATTCTATTCTCTATGTCTGCAACCCTGTGTGACAAAAGATTATTGAATGGCTAAAATGAGTTTCTCTAAGCAAATTGAAATGAAAAAGAACTTCTCTTCATTCAATCAGAAAATTCAGCAAAACAAAACCTTAAAAATGTTTTCCATTTTGCGCTTCCATATCCTATTTTCCGGGGGGAAAACGGATATATAAAGAAGAGTGGGGGGATGCTTTTTAATGAAAATATATTCCCTTGGTCTTAAAGTTAATAACCAAGATATTCCTAAATATCAGACAAAAAAAACTTAAAACCCATCTGTGACAGGAAATGTAGAGAAAATGGTGCCTCTACGCATGAACTCTGCATGGATGAGACTGTTCCCCTGAACTACTACGCGGCATTCAACCAGTTTTCCCAAACCATACCAGACAGTACATACATAGTCAGGTAAACTTCAAACCATACCAGACAGTACATACAGTACATACAGTACATACAGTACATACAGTACATACAGTACATACAGTACATACAGTACATACAGTACATACAGTACATACAGTACATATATTGTCAGGTAAACTTCAAACTGGTTTTATGTTTCCAGCAACTGTATGTATACATATAGTGTTGTTAATAGTTTTGACTTTTTTTAAAGATTTTTTAACAAAACGTCCAAGATTTCAAAAATGTAATCTGTTAAGTTTGCTTTTAAAAAAATAATATTTTTATCCATAAAAAATGCATAAGTTTTCTGTCAGGGTCAACATTTGAAATAGTGTTAGTTAGGCAAATGTTTTAAATTAAAAATTTTGAAAACAATGGCCTTTCTTACACTTTGCTTAATTTGGCAAACAAATATCAAATAATGAAATAACTTAATGCACATCACCTTACTGCAATGATATTTGTTTAGTGAAGGAGCAAATACAATGGATATTGGACGAACTATGCTGAAAAATAACCTTCCTAGGCACAGGTGCAAATACAGAGCATCTTCTATGTGATATCTAAAATTATTCAAAAATGTTATTTTAATTAAGAGCATTTATATATTTGAATTTAAGTTTTTATTAAAATCATCATTCTGCAAGGTGTGATCAACAAGTTTAGCAAACTTCAAGAAGTCTCAGCTCTAAAATCTTTGTTTTAAAGTTTACTTTATCTGTTCTCATGCAGGTGGATTTGCTTTATTGTGACATAGGAATATCTAGAATATTAACCAGAGAAAGGGGACACATTGTAGGATCGGTTACCAAAAAAGTTTTTATTAGACGATGCAAAACCAATCCGAACTACTAAACATGATCAAGAACAAATTTAAAACAATTTTTATAAACTTTAATGGTGGTTTGATGAGGTTAAAACGGAAAGCATCAATATTTAAAGGAGGATAATGAGATGTCCGGACATCAAGACACCAGAAATAGTCGAAAATATTGCAAATTGTTTAAACCATATATTAGCAGGGTTCAAGAAGTATGTTTGCCAGACACCCTGATATGCTTTACATTTTAAACAAAGATATAAAAATGATAAAGATCTGGGTTAAATTTGTCCCAAAGTCTCTGACATAGGCTCAAAGGGATTACATTGATTATGGATTTTAAATGTAAATCAAAAGCAGAAATCCTTGAAAGTCCTTCAGATATTCAATACTCAATCTCTTTTTTCTTTTGATCGCTCTTAAAGGGTCTAAAACAGACTCTGATGGGTCAAGTTTGAGATCATTCTGAAAATTTTCTTGCTGTGACGAATGAAGCTGATTACTTTCGAGGAACTCACCTTACATAACAACAAACATCTGATTGACATCTGATCTAAAAATAATCCAATATAAATAATAATATATTATTATAATTATTATATATATTATTATTATAATAGTAAACTTTCAACAACAAAAAAATTACAGAAGTGCCATTTAAAATTTTTAACGAAACTAATTGATCACACCTCGTAAAACTAAAGTTCTATGATACAACGTTTAAACCAACAAGTAAATAAATTAATTGAGTCTCTTCCACAAGCTCAAATTGTCTAATCCTTATATATAGTTGCAACCTAATGAAGTAAACTTAAATTATTTGATTTACTTAAATTCATAGTTTGAGATATTAAAGGTCTACAACATTGGGCTGCAAAGATATAGGGATAAGAAAATCTGAGTATGTGGTAAAGACTCAATTCCTTTACATATTAATACATCAATCTGCTTTTTAAAGCTTTACCTTTTTGATTTCCACATTCAGGTTGGATGCTGGTACCTTCGGAACCATGGGAGTAGGACTAGGGTTTGCTATTGCAACAGCACTTTATGCTAGAGATAACGACCCTGGAGCTAGGGTTCTTTGTGTCGAAGGTTCTATAATCTTCATGATAAAGCTCTTCGCTCATATATATGTATATTTATATGTTAGCTATAAATAGGCTAGCCAAACGGCTGGACCAAATTGTCTGAAATTTATTGAGGGAACCCGTTGGTATCCCAGGGGTAACAAAGGCTATACCCATAGGTATCCCTGGGGTAACAAAGGCTACGAAAATCGTTTTTTTACTAGTAAGTTATTACTAATGAGTTTTTACTAGTGAGTAATAATTCATCTTTTCTTAAATCCCTTTTCCACTTTATTTATAGTAATTACTAACTTTGCAAAAGCTTAACAAATTTGAAAAATCGTTTTATTTTACTATAGGAGACTCAGCTTTTGGATTTTCTGGTATGGAAATAGAAACCATTGCAAGGTGAGCTAAATATACTATTGTATGCCCCCCCCCCCCTGTGTATGCCTCTGATTGTGCATTGTAATGTTTTTCCTTTAGATATAATTTGCCTATAGTTATTGTAATTATCAACAACAGTGGAATCTACTCTGGCTTTGACAAGGAGTTATACAGGTATTAAAACACAGATTGCTAACTCTGATCTTCTAGTTCTTAAATCTTTGTAACTTGATGTTCAAGTTGTGCAGTGTAAACAGACCGATTTCACATAAAAATTTACAGCATCAAATGCGCTTAATCATTGCTTTCATAATGTCTTCCTATTCCAGATTTTTCTGGTTCTCGCTGTAGATCTCAGGTGCAGCCGTAGTACATTTGAATTTTCAAGCCGGGTCAGCCTTTCCGGTCCCAGTTTGTCATGTGTCGCCCGTACATTTGCTAAATAAAGCAGCCACTCAATAGGACTAGCCGGTACAACACGTTTGACGCGGTTAGGCTTTAGGTTGAACTTTCTTTTACTAAAGGGTCACTCAGAGGTGTGTGAAATTATTGTCAAAGTTTGAAATATCAAAGCTTCAAAGGGTTATTTCTTTAGGTTGTAAAGATGTAAGGAATAAAAAACTTTCAAGCAGCATTCATTTCTTTTAGTTATTGTCTGCTAAATATAATTCACATATCTAGAACTTTTTATTTTAACCATTAAACAAAAATTAAACTATTTACAACACAAACAAGAAGACTTAATTGAAACTTAACCAGTAATTCCTACATCTATAGATCTATAGAGATGGGCGCGTTCAACTTTTTCATTTCGTTCGTTCATCGTTCGTTCAGTAAAGAAACGAACAAAATCTGTCATAAACAATCAAAATCATTTAAACAATTTAAAATTGTTCGTTTTTGTTTATTTCGCTCGTTTTTGAAAAGCGTTTTTTTATTTCATTTTTTATACTGATCCAAGTTGTTCTTCCATCGTTCTCAAAAATCTATGACCATCTCTACCTACGTTCTTTTCCCTCAACCTCTTCTTCCTTTACATCTTTTCTTATGTTAATACGTCCTACTTTCTTTGTCCTATGATACAGTGATAGCCAGAAAACAATGGAATAGAAAGACTACATTATGGCAATACTTAAGTGTTTGATGTTTCTTACAAAGCAACCATTTTTACTAGTAACTTAGCAAAGCACAATTTAAGTGAAAAGGATCTATTTACACTGTAATGTTCATTGAACTAGTTTAAATCCTAATTTGAGTTTAAAAGTCGTCTTTTTATTTCAGAGTTTTTTGGTTATCACTGAATATTTTTACACTGACTCCTCCTTCTCCTTTTTATCAGGCTCCCTCCAAACTGCACATCTTCTCTTTTCTTCAGTCCCTACTCCCTAATCCCAAAAGCCTACCTCTTGCTCCCTACTCCAATGCAAAGCTCCCCCTTTATCTCTACTCTTTGCTCCCTATGCCCCCTTTTAGCTCTACTCCTTGCTTCCTTCGAAATGTCCCATACTTCCTTCTCTACCTATCCTTACTAAATCTTTCCCTACTTCTTTCTCTTCCTAACCCTACTCTAGCTATCCCTATATTTTAAACCTATCCCTACTCATTACTCATTCAATAATATTCCAGTGAGTTGGTTTCTGATGAGAACATATGTATTGCTTCTCCTCCTACCTCCCTTCTACCTGGAGTTCAGTATGAGAAGATGATGGATATGGTTGGGATGACAGGAGTAACATGCTCTAAACCTCAGGTATGAATGTGGTTGGGATGACAGGAAGAACATGCTCTAAACCTCAGGTATGAATAATGATATGGTTAAGGGATGACAGGAGTAACATACTCTAAACCTCAGGTATGAATAATGATATGGTTAAGGGATGACAGGAGTAAAATACTCTAAAACTCTAAACCTCAGTTATGGATAATGATATGGTTGGGATGACAGGAGTAACATGCTCTAAACCTCAGGTATGGATATGGTTGGGATGACAGGAGTAACATGCTCTAAACATAAGGTTTGAATAATGATATGGTTAGGATGACAGGAGTAACATGCTATAAACCTCAGGTATTGATATGGTTGGGATGGTAGGAGTAACATGCTCTAAACCTCAGGTATTGATATGGTTGGGATGACAGGACTAACATGCTCTAAACCTCAGGTATTGATATGGTTGGGATGACAGAATTAACGTGCTCTAAACCTCAGGTATGGATAATGATATGGTTGGGATGACAGGAGTAACATGCTCTAAACCTCAGGTATGTATATGGTTGGGATGACAGGAGTAACATGCTCTAAACCTAAGGTATGCCTAATGATATGGTTAGGATGACAGGAGTAACATGCTCTAAACCTCAGGTATTGATATGGTTGGGATGACAGGAGTAACATGCTCTAAACCTCAGATATGGATAATGATATGGTTGGGATGACAGGAGTAACATGCTCTAAACCTCAGGTATGGATAATGATATGGTTGGGTTGACAGGAGTAACATGCTCTAAACCTCAGTTATGGATAATTATATGGTTGTGATGACAGGAGTAACATGCTCTAAACCTCAGGTATGGTTAATGATATGGTTGGGATGTCTAAACCTCAGTTATGGATAATTATATGGTTGTGATGGTAGGAGTAACATGCTCTAAACCTCAGGTATGGTTAATGATATGGTTGGGATGACAGGAGTAACATGCTCTAAACCTAAGGTGTGGTTAATAATATGGTTGGGATGGTAGGAGTAACATGCTGTAAACCTCAGGTATGGATAATGATATGTTTGGGATGACAGGAGTCACATGCTCTAAACCTCAGGTATGAATAATGATATGGTTGGGATGACAGGAGTAACATGCTCTAACCTCAGGTATGGATAATGATATGGTTGGGTTGACAGGAGTAACATGCTCTAAACCTCAGGTATGGATAATGATATGGTTGTGATGACAGGAGTAACATGCTCTAAACCTCAGGTATGGTTAATGATATGGTTGGGATGACAGGAGTAACATGCTCTAAACCTAAGGTGTGGTTAATAATATGGTTGGGATGGTAGGAGTAACATGCTATAAACCTCAGGTATGGATAATGATATGGTTGGGATGACAGGAGTAACATGCTCTAAACCTCAGGTATGAATAATGATATGTTTGGGATGACAGGAGTCACATGCTCTAAACCTCAGGTATGAATAATGATATGGTTGGGATGATAACCTCAGGTATGGATAATGATATGGTTGGGTTGACAGGAGTAACATGCTCTACACCTCAGGTATGGTTAATGATATGGTTGGGATGACAGGAGTAACATGCTCTAAACCTCAGGTATGGATATGGTTGGGATGACAGGAGTAACATGCTCTAAACCTCAGGTATGGTTAATGATATGGTTGGAATGACAGGAGTAACATGCTCTGAACCTCAAGTATGGATAATGATGTGGTTGGGTTGACAGGAGTAACATGCTCTAAACCTCAGGTATGGTTAATGATATGGTTGTGATGACAGGAGTAACATGCTCTAAACCTCAGGTATGGATATGGTTTGGATGACAGGAGTAACATGCTCTAAACATTAGGTGTGGTTAATGATATGGTTGGGATGACAGGAGTAGCATGCGCAAACTCTCAGGTTTGCTCTTATCCAATAAGTTAAATTAAACCCGTTGTATTTTTTATACTTCCCATACCTTGTGATTGCTGAAAGAGGAAAAATATCTCTCTTAAAATCAGTCCGTAAGATCTGACCAGGGAATCATGAATTTTAGAAAAACAGACAGTATAAATTCCGAACAGTCTGCTCTGAAGTCTCATCCATTAAGGGTTACCCTGTAACTTTATTTTTAGATAAAAGAACAGCGGCGAAGACTTAATGTAACAAAGTTTTAATTCATCTTTTTTTAGGAGATCAAAACTGCTGTCAAAAATGCTCTAGGTATGTAAAATTTATAAAAAAAAAATTTAAATATAAAAAAATATATATATATTGTGTTTTCTAGCTGTGAATCGAGCCACTATTATCAATATTATGATAAATCCTATGGCCGGAAGGAAAGCACAGCAACATGAATGGTTGACTAAATCTAAATTATAAATTAGTTTATACAGGGTTAGATAATAAACATTGAAATTACTTAATCATAAATTAGTTTTTATCATTGCAGCACTTCATGTGTCATTCTAAATGTATTTTGCTAACTTGGGGGAACTTTTAAACAAATGCTTAAATGTTATTATTCATATATTTAGTAGTATTTTTTAGCAATATTCTAAAAATTAAGAAACTTTAGTTATTTTTTTTTTAGTTTTGAAAATTACAAAAATTTTTGTTATGTTCCAAAATTGGGTCTACAATTTTTGCTTCTTTAAAGTTCTGAAAATTAAAAAAAAAATTGTTTGTTTCAATTTCAACAAAAACAGTAGTTTAAACAACGATTTCAAAAATTCCAAATTCTAAGAATGAAATTTCTCCAAATATAAAGATTCTCCCCTTCCTAAAGACATTTTATCCTTAATACGTTACGCTGAATTTAAAGAAGTTGAACCACGTCTCAAATTTGAGACTCGACTTAAACATAAAAATTATGTTCAGTGTTTTGATATTTGAGCCGGTGCTCAAATGGAACCGGTTTTTGGCGGATCAGCGATGCGGTTTAAATTATTTAAATTCTGCCTCTGGTCTCAAGACTTTAAATAGTCTAATAAGCATGGGACACAGTAAGTGTGCAGTGTAAACAGACCCATTTCCCTGAATTAGTGATTTGATAAATTATAGTAAAACTATTTGCTTTGTAACGACATCAATACACTTAAGTATTGCTATAAAGTCGTCTTCATTTTTATAGTTTTCTGGTTATCACTGCAAGTAAAAACCATTTGTTGTACTCTGGCTACAAATTGAAGATCGACTAGTTTTACCCTATGCACCACTAATAAAGGGGGGTATTTCTGGCCTGTAGTAGTAATATGGAACCTTACATCATAAATTATCTACTGAAGATAAAATATTCTTAAAAGATGTCACTAAATTCCGATGATTTTTGGGACTCCCGTTGTCTCATGTTTGGATTGAAATGGACAGGTAGCTGCATTATTATGTAAGATAACAACTTTAGGTTTATGTTTGTAGTTATAGTTTAGTACACCAGTTGTGATGTGACCGCAGAGTAGTGAACATCTCACGGAACCTCGTCAGATTCCGTTTGTTTGATAAATCGTACACTGTAAAATTTGAGATTGTATATTTTATTCAATATTTCGAATCGCGCGATCACAACAATAATATTGGATAAATTTTACCTAAATTTTGAATAATTTTGTTTACCAATTAGAATCCAAAAGGACAATAATATTCCTATTTATTGAATATTTAATTCAAAACTTTGGAATAAAATACGTAAATAATCACGCGTTGACAATGCGAGTGATTTTTATACAACTGAATTGAATATATTATACAAAATTTAAGAATACCACTGTCCGTGCAGCGGTGCTTCAACCTAGCGGCAACGTCTGGAAACAATATATACAATAATATTGAATTAAAAACTCATTAATATTGTTTCTTTACAGCCAGAGACACCTGGCGGGGGATTCTAACATTGTTTCTTGACAGCCAGAGACACCTGACGGGGGACTTACGTAACATAAACATTCAAATATATTGAATAAATTATTCAACATTTTTGTAAATATTAAGAAATCATAACATTAAACTCTAAAAATATTCTCCTAAAATGAATAAAAAACTCGTTAATTGGGAATTAATAACAAAATATTTCAAAAA